GATTGACATTCGTCATAATTCTGTGCTGTTGGTATTCACTTCAAAGATTTTACATATTATTTGATCACTATCACTTGGTGAATATGGCAGAAAGTTGTGGAGGTAGTCAGTGAAGAGACTAAAGGTGTTGTTTGATGGTGTATTACAAAAACTGCTCTATACAAGCTAGCTTTTATTGTACCCTATATATATATATATATATATATATATATATATAACTTGCTCTCTTTCTTCTCATCTTCATCCACCTTATTGCCTGCTCATCAGCTTATAAAGGAACACATAAATGCTTACTTCAGTGGCCTTCATGTTTACTTTCATATGACAGCAGTGAAAAACACTAAGGACATCGGAGGACAAGTGTCCAGTGGAGATTTAACTTGTTTAAACTAAAGTTTCTGCTGAATGGCCCCTATCAGACTGCTGACTCTATTTCCTGAGCCTGTCAGCATATTCTTCTCTGCGCCACAGTCACTTTACAAGCATCAGACACCACTCTGTACACTACTGTCAGAAGAATCCTTTTCCACTATAAAGAACCTTTCCTGCTCTCAAAAGATTCCATGGTTGTTAAAGGTTCTTCATGAAGCAATATGGAAAGCCATCTCTTTAGTTTCCATAGCTGCATATTAACATATTAACATCTATAGTAAAAATATCTGCTTTTACATATGAAACACATAAGGCAACATTTTTACAAATATTCTGAACAGAACAAAATCCACATGGGACTAAAAATAAAATAAGTAATTTATTTATGAAAATAAAGTATTCATAAACATTCATCTACAAAGATGTATATACAGCAATTGTTTATGTTTGCAAACTATCAAAATGAACTAAAGCCTTGAAGTTTAATGAGAACATGTTGGGAAATCCAACAAAATTAACTTTTTATTTTTGGTATAGGATCTATAACACAAGATTGTTTATTGGAAAGCTTATTTTGTGACAATACAGCAGTGCTGAAAGAGAGTACAGTGAGTAGATGACAGCACTGCTGTAAATATAATACTGCTGAATGATTTATTAATAGCTCATCCAGTACACTGCAGTGCTAAAAATATGAACACTGTGACAGTGGAGAAGGGCAAAAGGGTTGTGTGTGCTAAAGCAAGTATATATTTGTGTTTATAAATGTGTAAATGTACTATTAGCAATGTTTATCTGTGTGGCATTTTAACTTTAGTTGAATGGGAATGTTGGGGTGTATTAATTTGGATCTGTTTTGAAGGCATTTTCTCTATTGCAGCTTAAGAAATTGCACATGCTGCTGTTATCTGGTGTTCTGATAGCGCTGCCGTTTCTCAAATTTCGCTGCTCTTTTGTCTGAGTAACCTGAGAGAGCACATTCTGTCCCTATATTCCCCAAATGTTTGGCATTTCTCCACTATCCCTGTCCACTATCTGTGATGCTAGGATGTTTGGTGGGGATTTCAGGGTTCAATATACAGTATTATTTCCATGTCTCTCACCTATTGTAATGCATTCCTAGATGTCCCCACAAGACTACAGGACTGTATATCTTTTTTATACTTTATTTTACTTTTAATAATAATCTTATTCTTTGGTGTATTGTTCTTCTATCCTGTCCTGATTACTTGAACTGTATACCAACTTGTATACTTTTACTCCTTTCTAAAAGTATATAGTTTGCTGGTGATGAGCTATTTTTGACAATGTAGTAAAATGTTTATTGAAATTTTGTGTCTTGATAACACACCTCCTGCCATGTACTGTTTGCATTTGTGTACAAGCCTTTGCAGCTAGCTAAATTCAGTATGCTAACAGCAGCTAGCTTAATTCAGTGTGTATCGTTTTTTAAGTGAGTTGACAGCTTCAGTTGTGCGGGTTAAAGACACTAACATACAAGACAAGCAATTCCGTTTTCTTAAATGTTTGCAACCATCAAAAATGTCTCAGCGTTATGTATTTAACCCGGTTCCTTGGGAAGGGAATGAAATCATGCGTCATGGTGTTGAGGCTATGAGAACACCTTCAGTATGACTGGTATCTGAGGCAGGTGTTGACGTCTTGACTGGTTATGGCAGTAATATAACATCACTGATGCAGTCATACTTTATACCTTTCAAGGGAACTTGGTGCTGTGTTAATTAAGAGAATATCAACTATGTCATACTGAATAAGTGCCTGCTCACCAGCTGTACAATGAACTGTAGTCCCTAGTGAAAAAATAAATACCCAAATGGGTAACACTTTATAATAACTGCACGCTATGAATCATTAGTTAACCCTCAATCTGTCCTTGTCAACTCCAATCAACTTTTCCTTAGTTAACATTTTTTTTTCCCACAATAAGATTTTGTGACTTTTCTACATTGTCTATCTATATTCACATAAAAAAAAAACTGGGCTTGATTCGGTTGTTCTGAAGGTATGTAAAACATTTTTTTTACAAATCTTGTCTTTGGGGTCAATATGACCCCGCATTGAAATGAATGGGAAATAAATCTGGCATAAATCTGAACATTTTCACACCGAAATGAAGGCCTGGTACTAGAGCACAAATGCAATGTAGAAAAGACATGCTCACTCACACACACACACACACACACACACACACACACACACACACACACACACACACACACACAGATATGATTC